TATTTTCCATCAGAGTACCAATGCCCAATCAAAGCGTCTGTATCATGCGATAGTCTCAAATTGCACCGAGCGTTTTCTGGTGGCAGACGCGGCATCGTGGGGTCGCACCGTTGTAGCGAGCGGGATTCACATACAAATACGTGGCTCTTCCTTGGCTCCAATAAATGATGCAAGCATAGCCTTCAAACTCGAGGCTGTCGGCATTGCAGCACTTTCCTACCATGCTCCAACATAGTGCCTGAGAGCCTCCGGTGCGGAAGCATTCCATGGCAGTCCTGGGAGATACATGATTGGGCGCGGACAGGAAAACATCACTTTCATGAGCGACGGCGAAGATACTGTCTCGATGGCATTGTCGAGCGTAACTAAGCTGCTCCGATAACTCGAGCTGTTGTTTACAGAGGTCGGGCGCCTCGAGGTTGGCACCGAAAGTGCGGTGGACAGAGGCAAGTCAACCAAGTCGTTCTTGATGTCGTTGTTTGAGGCTGACGACCACCACAGTGTCGAAGGCCTCGACACCTTCAATGCCTGCTACGGCGGAACAAACGCTCTGTTCAGTACCACAAACTGGATTCATGGTTGAGCTTAGAAAGGTGCGTATGGTATTGTCGTCTGTTCCGACCCGGCGATTCACCCAGATCCTGCCCATATTTCTGGCATCGGAGCCTCCTCAATATCTGTGGTCGTGGCTGCGTAGGCGCCATTGTTGCTCTTGCGAGAGCGCATAACCTTTATAAAACACTCGTGGGATTTCTATCGCCCTGTTGGATGGCACACAAACGATGCAGTTATGGACATCAGCATCGCAACAGGTTAATACGAAGAGGCAATGAGCTGGTGCTAGCGATGATTCAGCGATACCACAGGATAAGAAGGCCTATTGCGTGTATTCGACTGCGTCGTTTACCACAGCAACGCCCCCTATCACTCCAAAAGGAACCTGAGGTTTATGTGTGAGATGGCTTATGGCAAACTTACCAAGGCTCAGCACGAGGACTTCTTCTGGAAGCATGCTTAGGCTGGCATCGCCATAAGTGCCCAAAATGCTACTACGTACACGTGCCCACTTTATGCAAGTCTGCTCTCGTTGGCCTTGGCAATTGGCGATGACCTAGCTAACATCCGTATCCTATGCGTATCATACGGATCTGGCTGTGCTGCTAGCATGTACGGAATCAATGCTACTGCTGCGCCCACACACGCTTCGGACGTGCTGACTGGTCTCCGCTGTCGATAGTAAGCCTCGAGGAGGACAGTG